TTTCATTTCACTGTTCAACAGATTTTTTCCCCCAGCCACATTAATATTTCTCTATTTGTCTGCACATGGACTAATATTACTCAATGAGAAGTTAATATAGGCCTGTCTAGCATAAAGCCCTACATAGAAATTACAATTACTATCACTGAATTAAGTACCTATTAAAAACACACAACTTTAACACACCAAAGCATTGATCTGGAACAAACCCAATCTGATCTTGCTTAAGCTGCCTTGTAGTCGCTGTGAACGTGCACAAGGAACATTCTGATAGGATCTCACAAGTATGATGGGTATTTTTCTCTCGGTATCATTTCATTGTCTCTCTTCATGTATGTTGGCATGATAAGCCGTCTGGCATTCCTCAGAACTGGACTATGTCTCTCGAGATTTGCCGGCTTGAAGAATGCGACAGGACCGCACACCGATGGAGTGAGTCAGCTGACCACTTCCTGTGTCTGTGTATCACCGGGTCACATTTCAATGCTTGAGGGTGCGAGTGTGTCTGCAGCTGAGTGTGTCCCATTGTTGTTAGAGAACAGTATCCTCTGTTGTTGAGCCCTATACAGGAAAAGCTGGCTGCATTTTCCCTGCTTGTGTTTGGAAAAGAATCTGAGATGAATTACGATCCCTTTCTCTCAAATTGTCATTGGCGTTATTTCTTCCATTGTTAGTGCGTTACATTTGTGTATCCCTGTCAGCAGATGAAGGGGTGTTACCCTTAGCACAACAGATCTCACATTCTTACAGTGACATCTAGTGGACCTACCGGGTAATATGCCTCCAGGACACATTTTGCAAGAACAATAGAGACCCCCCTTTGTGTCCGCTCTCGCCATCTCTCTCCTCACTCCGGCCCTCCCTCCATCCCACTCCTTTTGTGTCTCCTTCTCTCTGGGCTCTCCCCGGCTGATTCATCCGCCCCGCAACGCATCAGTCTTCACCGTTCCTCCTGTGTTTGTATGTGTCTTTGTGTTTCTGCTCGTTTGTTTGCATGCATGCGTGTAATTTCTTTACGTGTGTGTATGTCTGTACCAGAAATCCCAGCCCCACCGAGATGAGCGTGGAGCCCTGGGCCAGCCCGCAGGACCAGGCAGCCGCTGAGGAAGAACACAGCACGCACACGGCATCCTCCCAAGATCAGGAGCAGCACCCTGACAAACTCTGCCTGGACTCGTTCTGGAGTGAGGTGGAGACCATCCGACAGGGGAGTGGCTATACAGATCTCGACTGCAGCAGGAGAGACTCCAGGCAGTCAGAAGGTAAATACTGCAAATCCCGTGCTGATAGATTACACACTGTAGAAGCTTACATGGAAGTCACCACGAGTTTATGTGATAGAATTACGAGCCATCAGTGTTTAACACAGCTGCCACTGAAATCCTCCATGAAATGATGCATTTGCCATGGCAACATATCAGGTTTCTTCTCATGCAGCAAAGAAGCGCTCATCGCCATGACAACACTATCAAACACTCTGTGGCAGGGAGTGTTTTTTTGTGCACAAGCCAAATAATCATTAATGAATGCTGACTTGACAGGAATGCTCTTTTATTACGTTCATTCAAATTATCTTTTGTGTTTATTCTACCGTTTAATAGATCCTTTTGATGTTATGTTAAACAGAAACACTGTTTTAAATTAATTTTTAATTAATGAGTAAACCCTCAGAAGTCTGGATTTTGGTGTGTAAATTGTGTGTGTGTGTGTAAATGTGAGAGAGACAGTCTGTGCATCACTATTATTTTGGTAGGGTAAACAAAATTCTGTTTTTCCTTATTAAATTGGAACAACTTACTAACTACTAGCAGGTTGCACCATCTCTTCCTAGGTTCAAACTTACAAAGTGTTTACAAAGTAAAGACTTTCACATAATTTAATCAAAACTAGTTACACCACACAAATACATAGAGATTAGTTGTTACTAAACTAAACATTTCCACTTATTACCGGCCAGGTGTTAACTGTTGTGTAAGTAACTATATTAACTGACAAAGCTAATGTTAGCTTTCTAATATATGACCCGTTTAGAGTGAAGATGCATTATGGTTGACACATATGACCTGACACTGTTTGGTTAATAATCACTGGGAACACTTTAAACTAAATAAAAAATAACACAACATAACTCAAATTATAAACCGTCATGAACCTACTTTCTACATACATAAAACACACATATTTCTCCATCTGCACATGTATAAATAAAACTAAATCCTATGTACTCCTATGTAAAGATTGGCAGTTAAGGCATAAAGTTATGTTACAACCCGGGATGCTACAGTGACTTCCTGTTTACACGGTTGCTTGTTTTTGATTGGACTGTGCTACAGATAATTCGTAGCAACTGAGTTACACATAACTATAGTGTTTACTAGCTAAGACAAGTAAATCACTGGTGGGGAACTAGCTAGTAGTTACTACAGACTGAGGAGAAACCTTATGCATAAACTCATTTAAACTCAGCATTACATCAACATCTTGTTGTGTACTTACATGTGTCTGTTGTGTGTTATGTGTCTCAGAAGGTGAACAGGAGGAGCAGTGGTTGGCTGATGCTGGTTTGTCGAACCTCATCAGTGAGGACAGCGAGGATGTAGACAACGTGGTGCTGCTGTCGACACTGACCCGGACCCAGGCCGAGGCCGTGCAGCGTCGACTGAATTCCTACACGCTGTCCCTCCGCAAGAGGAACAAACCGCGCGACGTCCGCGACGTCTTCAACTCCCCCATCGCTCAGGTCAGGACTATTTAAATCCCTGAATCCCTGCTGGTGTAAGGGAAGTTGTTCTGTAACTTACCACGACCTCTGACATCCTGGTGGAGGAGGAACAGTAAAGAACAACTTGTCCTACTGAAAGGAAAATACATGCAAAGGCACTTCATGCTGTAAATTCTTGTGGTTCTAGATGTATTTCATAATGCAGTAACAAGCATATATATATACATATATATACACACACTACATCTTATGTAACATACATTCATCAGTTGCTCACAGGATTGTTGTTATCATGTTACACAACTTTACATTACGCAGAGCCTGTGTGAGTCAGGGCTGCATGCAGTAAAATATAAAATACCTATTTCCCTGGTGGATTTTCTATTGTTACAGTGTATTGTGCTGTCATGTTCCATGCAGAGAAGCTGACCTGTGACAATGAAGACAAATCACATGTAAAGGCCATGCTTTGTCCTTCGCATCTGTGTTAGCAGCCCTGAGAAGGAAACAGAGACGCTGTTCCTCTGATCCTTATCGGTCCCTTATCAAAGGAAACACTCTTTGTATCCATGTGTCCATCTCCCCACAGGACAATATACAACACTACTTTGATTCCCAGTGGTTGGAGAAAGTATTACAGTAATGGTATTCTTAACTAAGGTTTTGTAAGAAAGTCTTGTATATGTTTGTGATGTGTCAATAAATCCTTTTTCTCACCAGAACCTTTTGCCTGAGTCCCAGCATAGTGAAGAACTTGCCCAAAACAGCATGGCATCGGTCGCCAAAACACCACTATCAGGTAAGAGCTACATACTGTAGTATTATAACAGTGAGCCTAAATTTAAACTAGTAAGTAACTACACTAATTAAAAATGCATAATGAGAAAGTCTGGTGAGCAGCCGAGGTTCTGAAGACGGATCAGGATCAGGCCACAGTACTGTTATCTACCTTCTAATTGGTTTAGATTAATCCTCCGGATAATTCCTCATCTCTACACGCTGCTGCTGGAGAAAGCCCCTGTCCTTACAGTACAGAGTTCCTTTGCCAAATCTCAGTATTTTAGAGTAATATTACAGTTTTTGTACTGAGAAAAAATAAACAGGCAAGTCCTTACAAAAAGTGCCTCATGTGCCTGCACTTCTGATGTTAACAACAGGTAAATCTTTAGTTGTTGATGTTTTAGCAGTAAAATCATGCAGCAGGGAGACATCTGTAGACAACAGTGTAATATACACATCTAAGATGCAGTAAAAGGAGTGTCATACTGTTACAGATCAAGTAACACAGTGACAGTGACATCTGTAGCAATTTGTTCTTACTTTTTTCAATATGAATAGTTCTGAGGATACTTCTGCCAAATGTTTATTTCCGGATGCTTTGTTCTTCCATTACAGATAAGCTGTAGATAAGAGATCAACAGACTGTGTGTGTGCAAATTTCCTCATATTTGTGGATATTTTGTTACATTTCTTCCTCATGTTCCCTCATGCTGCGTGCATTCAAATTACATTTTTGTCAGTGGCATGTCTACAATGGACTTCCGCAACTGAACTAATAGGTTGACGTTATCGTTGTGTTTAAGGGTGTGTTTCCCACTCAGCTGTGACGCCAGAGCATCAGCGAGGTGCTCCAAAAGAGGAGTTCTTCATCACCGATGTGGCTTACTGCGAACAGGCTGTCATCTTCCTCAAACAGGCCAAACTGCCGCAGAACAACAGTCAACGCAGAAAAGAGGATGGCACCCTGCCAGTAAGCACCAAAACACTTCCCCGTCTCCTACTCCCTTTACAGGGAGACTGCAAGTCACTGTGGATGTTTTAAAACTGTTATTTCAAATGGGGGATTTTGTAAACGTTCCAGTTAAGTCATGAAATGGGAAGATCATTTGCAAATTGGGCAAATTGGTTGTATTTCCCTAGAATTAATTTCTTTTGGTGGGTGTGAAAGTACATTACAGGAAAGAGGATTTGAATTATGCAGTTCTAGGAAAGGCAAGGTACATACAGTATATGATAACCCCTATTAACAGTTTGTTATGTGTAGTATCAGGATGGTTACCTTGGTAATGTGGGTTTTCAGCTACTGTCTGTTAAAGTCATGATAAAGTTAAGACTACAGTTAGGTACAGGATGACTCACCCACACTACTGAGTGTATGGTCATCTTGTAGTTACACCTTTTGTTCTGCAGTACTCACCGACATACAATTATTCAAAAAGATTTTCTATGTTTTTGTGTTCTTGTGCTAAAACTTAGGTGTTTTGCTTCGTTTGTAGCTGTGGATAAAATTGGTTTTGGTTTTGGTATTAGAACTTATTGGAAAAATGTAAGTTGTTGCAACTGATCAGGAAAAAAAATCTCAGTAATGTAAGGCTTTAGGACTATAGACATCACTCTACATTTCAGTCTCTAGCCCAAAATAGTTTGGGTTTGGGTCAGTCCAGGTTTGAATTTTCATGTAAGCCTTAATTAATTAATACACACACTCACACACAAATGTTACTGTAAGGCAGTTCTAATCAGTCCCTATTGTTAGACTGTTAGATAACAGGGTTACGCAGAATAAAGAAATGAGGGAATTAGCTCAAAACAAAAGAAGAGTTGTTGTGTCACAGAGTCCGGAAGATTAATTTTTCTGGCTAAATATGTTTACTCAGCAATTAGCGATTGTTTTTTTTAATGTTAATTGTATTATTAATTATATATGCATTGATACTGTTGCAACATTTTATTAAAGAGTATTAATTAAAGAGATGCACAGTCGATATATATAATAAATATGATGTAAATGATTTGACACTGTCTCCATTTTCTTCTCCTTTCCTCTTCACCCTGTTCTTTGTCCCATTCTCTCTCTTTACCTCTTCACCTCCACTTTCCACCTCTCAACTCCAATTCCCCCTCTCCTCACTTTCCTCTCCGTCCACTCTCACCTTCACAGCGGGTGATCTGCCCAAAGTGCCGTCTAGGAGTGACTCATATTCAAGATCTCTCCCACGCTGACATGAAGAAGGTGCGTCAGTTGGCTCTCATTGACATGACGGCGCTCTGTGACCTCTTAGAGCTGGAGGTCAAAAGGCACAAAACCGGCAAGAGAAAAATCCCAGGTATGGCTGCACCAGCACACGCAGAGCCGAGCACGTTGCAAACAAGGAAATAGACATACTGTGGTATCTTTTTTTAGACACTAACATTGTTTATTTGATGATCAAATCAGACGAAAACAATGACTCAGACTGGCACTTGAATGGTTGTCTGCAGCACCTGTTCCAAACAGGTCTAACGTCAGTTTATTCTCATGTAATGTATTTGATTCATAAAGACTTACAAACTGAGAGTGTCTTAAATCTAGATATGCTCCTGTTTCTATACTAAATATTTTACATAATACCTGTTTTCATGTACATATTACAGCTGAAAATCTGACTAAACTATGGTGACACATTCATTAGTAATACATTAATCGACTATATAATTTTGGGGTTAGCTATAGTTTAACACACTACAATTGGTGTATGTCGGCTCCTAATACACAGAATTACACAAGCAGTGACATGGCCATATGGATGTTGGCACACACACACAACACAGGAAAATGTCTCCGTTATGCATCTGTGGCTAAATGTCAATGTAAGAACAACTGAAAGAAAGAACAACTGACTGATGCTTTGGTCTTTCACAGAGAGCACGCTGTTCGGGGTGCCGTTGGCCACGCTGATGGAGAGTGATCAGAAAATTAAGGCCAACACCTCGACTCCTCTCTTCATGCAGGCAGTAAGGACCCAAAATACATCTATGTCATATGACCTTAAAAGACCATTTTAACAACACATGAAGAAGATAATTCAGAACACTTTTCATCCGAACTATCTGTACTGTATGTGGGCTTGAGGTGTTAATTGAGGCAATAATCTAAATGTGCCTAAAATATATCAGATCTGCTATTATCTGATTATCTAAGGTGACAGCTTGATTCCTTTTAATCATATTTTTCTCAGCACATATTAATCTTTGTTGAATCTACTAACAACGACTTCAAGTAGAACACATGAAACAACCTCAGTGTCCTCTGAATGTGAAATGCTTTGACCACACCCTGTATGTAGCAGCAGTTACTGAGAATAACCAGCAGAGGTGAGCAAGAGATTCTTATCTGCTGATGCCTGACTCTCTGCTAATGTCTTTCTCTCTCCTTCCCCCCTCTCTCTCTCTCTCTCTGCAGTTGTTGTCGTTTTTAGAGAAGAAAGGAGTCGATTCGGAGGGGATCCTGCGGGTTCCAGGATCTCAGTCCAGAATCAAGGTACAATATTCAGACCTGTTTCTGTCACACAAAGCCTGGCACCTGCACCAATTTATTTAGTTACTTTTAACTTTTAAGCCTTTCAAGCCTTTTATTTGCCCTCCTAAGTTTAAAGCAAAGAAATGAGAACATATTCACAATCTAAAGGTCACCCAAATTATTGACACTGTAAAATGTCAGAAGTTCTTGAACAACAGTGAAAATCAAACTGCTTTGAGTTTAACTATAGTTGACATTTAGAAAAACAAGGTCCAGAGGCAAAATCAATCATGTTTTTCAGCTGCTTCTTCCAGATACACTTTATGATGCTGTATTTAATTCTGCACATGCACATTAGATGGTGGATCAATTTAATCAAAGCAGGCAGAAGAGGGCGCCATTTAGCACTTTATAGAAAAAACAGGACCGATTATAAGGCCAGATCAATCATGTGGATGGATAATAATCAATAATCATTTAGAAAGAATTAACTAAACTCACTGTTTTACTAAAGTTATTATTTTCTTATCTTTACAATATGGTGATATTAGTTTTATAATAATAATATCATTTATAATATTATATTACACCATTATAATAGTATTATCCCCAAAACCTCATTTAATGAATCAAAATACAAATATCCAATTTTTTTTAACCTATTTGATAAAAGTTGAACTATATTTTCTTTTCTGTCCCAAGCTTATGAAGGATCTACTACCTCCAGCATAGTGTGCCATTTTGTTCTGTTAGTGGAGCACAACATCCTTTCTTCCTGACTGTAGGTACACAAATAGAGGCATATGAGTCTAATCCAAACCTCAGACTCCTCCCTGTACAATTTTAGTAGTTTTTGGAAACCTCAGTTAGCAACAGGCTGTCAAATAAGAATCAGTAACACAAGGTAATGACATGATGAGTTAATTTAACACTAATGTGTTTTAAATAGCTGTTCAGCTGTGTTTATGACAAACAACATATCAAGATTTTATCATTTAAAATAACTGACACTCAAACCATACAGTGAATCACGAAAGCTGATTATTCATCAGTCACAACTGATCTTGAAGATCACTCACAAGTCACAAAAATGACAATAAAATAACTGAAAAGTGTTGATTAACTCAGTGATAGTGTTGATTTTTAGTTATCTGGAAGGTTGAACTTAATGCTTATAGTTCATCTGTGGTCGTGCAGTTCTGAAGACGTTTCTTTGTTTTCTGTCTGCAGCTGCTGCAGCAGAACTTGGAGACCAACTTCTACTCAGGGCAGGTCAGCTGGGATGAGGTGAGTCCAAACGACGCTGCTGCTCTGCTCAAGAAGTTCATCCGGGAACTGCCCGCTCCTCTGCTCACCGCCGAGTACCTCAACACCTTCAGCGCCGTCAGAGGTCAGCAGACACTTTCCGTTGCTCCAATTCCAAAATAGCTTTCAGGAATCTTGTGTTGTTATTGTGTAGAGTGTGCAACATTTGAATATCTTGTTAGATTAATGAATGTGCAGACAGTGTTGCCAGTCTGTTACCTAGAGACAAGACATGACTAATGTCTGTTGTTTGGATAAAAGACCTTTTAGTTTCAGGTTGCGTCAGTGTTAAATCACACAGCTCCTCTATAGTTAAATAAGACCTGTGTTATATCATGCAGTCTGTCAGTATGCTGATGGGTGTGACTGAGTGCAATCTTTACATGTTTTTAAATCTGGCCAGTTGTGTATTTACTGTATAAAACAGACATACACAAGAATTCCTCTCCTCCTCCTCCTCCTCCTCCACACGACTTCAACAATCTACTGCTCACTTTTCCAGACAGCTCAGCGGGGTTCACATCATAATTACCTAAGTCTCTTTACCATGATGACAAACACTGTGTGACGCTTATCTCTTCTGCTCCAGCTGAGAAATCCACATTAAGATGAACAAGTTGATAGCCTTTTTAAGAGGCGTCCCTGCACTGCCACAAATGCATGCAGCACAGTGACAAAGCAGAGTAAAAGAGCTGCTATTTTCACATTTCACCTTAATAGAAGACTGTATTGATATTAATATAATCTGATTGATGACTCGCTGTGTAGTTTGCAAGGAGAATCGGTGCAAAGTGATAAACGACATGTGACCACCGAGACATAAGCTTACGGACCTAATGGCCAACTGTCACAATGTCATTAATCTTTAGGTATCCCATTATTCTCAGCCAAACACAGAGGAAATGAAGTGTGTGTGTGTGTGTGTGTGTGTGTGTGTGTGTGTCAGTGAGAGGACAGAAGANNTGTGTGTGTGTGTGTGTTAAACCTGTCTTACCTTTGCTCCTCCTCCCTCAGACATTACAGAGCTGAAACAGAAACTCCACATGTTGAACCTGCTCATCCTGCTGCTGCCTGAGCCCAACAGAAACACACTGAAGGTACACACTGAAGAAACACACACACACA